ATATCACTAACTGTGCATTTGCCCTATAGCAACTTCTGGTAACAAGGAGATATGAATATACAACTTTCACTCCCAAAGCTGATTTCATTGTAACTTTGAAAACAGAGTATAATTTAGTGTTTAATTTCCTTTACTGAATTGTTAGAAATTTTCAGTATATGGGGTTTACAATTACTCCCATATAAACAGAAAAGCTGTGTTAAGAGTTTTAGAAATGACGTCCATATCTGATTTTTATCTGTCTTATTAGTGATATGTTTTGGAGCAGCACCCTGAGGACCCAAATAGATGTGAGCTATGAGCTGTAATTTTAAAAGGAAAGCAAGAGAGCTGGTCTCCCATGTCTCAAATATGGTTCCTTTAAATATTCTAGCTATGGGGTTTGGGTAACATTTTAAGCCAATTTTATATCTTTTTTAGTAAAACTATATCTATTTTTACTGAACCATTTTTAAAACAAACCATAATGTCCTCCATGTACTTCACAGTACATTATGTACATTAGCAGAGACAGTTTCTGGTGTCAAAGCCACTAACTGTATGTTATGGGCAGAGGGCTCAGTATGTTATGGTTGTGAGGGAGTAGGGGATGGTCTTTTGTGGCCCTATATGTCACTATTTAAAAAAAAAAAACAACTTTACAGACATCCAAGAGCTAGTTAGGCTCCTGAAAAACCTTGGATTTTATGTATTTAAAAAGTAAAATTTGGTTACTGGGTCAGTATTTTGCTGTAATTTAAAATGTATTTAAAGGATGAAGACTCTCCAGTCTGCAGCTATTCCACTACTTATCACTGCATAACTTTGTGCATAATATGGCCTTCTTGATAACAACTTGGGAGCCCTTGAAAATCCTTGGTAGGAATGTTCCCTATGTCCCATTCCCTCAGGAGCTCTGGGTCCCATTATCAGGGGGGCAGTTTCTAGCACAGTATGATAAGGGTATTATTTTTATTATATTTTCTATTCTGGAGAGATTGGCCCCAAGGCAAACTCATTTTGAAGGCATCTAGACTGATCGTTGTTAGATTTGGGGCTCCCCTTAGCTTTCCTAATCCTGCCATCTATGGGCTTGAAACTGACATCCTTGTGGACACAAATCCCAACCCACTTTGTCCTCTCCCCGGTGTGGCTTTGTGATGGGTCTCTCATCCCCCTCAGAGATAAGAGTGGCTGGACTCCCTTTTCATGAATGACTCCAAAATCTAAGTTTAGTATTGGGCAGGGATGAACCCACACAGATGATAGATAGACTAATTCCATCCTTTCCAGGATGAAGAAGAGTTGGGACTTTCCTTCATCCGGTTGGTTCTTTTTGCTTCCCTGATTTGTCTAGTTCCTCAGTGGTCAAGGAAGTACAAGTCATTAGGGCTATGACCCAGCACAGACTGGTCCCAGATCTAGTGTGGACGGTAGTGCCATTTGACTCACATAGCACGTTTCCTGCCAAAGCAGTCTATCTTCTGGGCTTACATTAGAGTCCAGGGCACAGGAAAAGCAGGTGTTGCTTGAGAGAGAGGCAGGTAGCTTCCCTGAGGGGAAAACTGCCTCAGAGAGGGGACAGAGGGGCAGGCAGCCTCCATGAGGGGGGAAATGCCTCAGAGAGGGAAGTGGGGGAGAGGGGGAGGCAGCCTCCATGAAGGGGGAAACTGCCTAAGAGAGGGGCAAACAAGAGGGAAACCACCTCAGAGAGGGGAGAGATGGGTGGGAAGCCTCCATGCGGGGGAAATGGTCTGAGAGAGGGGCAAGTAGCCACTTAGCAGAGAACTGATTTAGAGGGCTGAGAGGGGGGTGGGCAGCCTCTTTGAGAGGGAAACTGCCTCGAGAGAGGAGGGAGGGACAGGTACTGCCATGATGGGGAAGCCCCCTCATAGAGGAGAGAGAAGGGCAGGCAGCCTCTGAGGAGGAAGCTGCTTCAGAGAAGAGAGATGGGGTGGGCACCTCTGTGAGAGGGAAATCACCTCAGGGAGGGGGAGGGGAGTTGCACAGCCTCTGAGGGGAAGCTGCCTGCCAGAGGGGAGAGAGGGCGGGCAGACTCTGTGAGGGAGAAACTGCCTCAGAGAGGGGAGAGGTGGAAGCAGCCTCCCTGAGGGGGGAAACCACCTTATAGGGGTGAGAGATGGGCGGGCACCTCTGTGAGGGGGAAACCGCCTCAGAGAGGGGAGAGAGTGGCGGGCACCTCTGTGAGGGGGAAGTGCCTCAGGGAGTAGACAGAGGGGAGCGAAAGGCAGGCTGTGTCCCTAATGGGCACTACTACCTCACTGTACAGAGGGATAGGACTTAGTTGCTCCTGCCCACACAGGGTAAATACTCTCCTACCTCAGAGCCATGGGGGCCTCTTCCATTCCTTGACAAGCTTGAGACCTTGTACCTCTCCCCATGGCCGTTGAGGTAGGAGATCTGCCCTCACCGGTGTCCTCGTGGTCTTTGAATCGGGGGGAATGGCACACTCCATAAGGCACACTTTCAATCACACTTTCACTGGCATGCTTAGGGAAAGCCCTGCCCATACACATAGTCCCCAAGTGACCCTGGAAATTGGAGACTTGCTGGAAAGTTGCATTCTGCATCTGAAGAACTCAATATTAAGGGCTATTTGAAGAAAAAAAGAGAATACTTTGATTTTTGGCAAAATTCAGTGTGATAATATGGTTAATATTTCAAACTTGATATTCTCCTGACACAATGGAGACAGCTCCTTCCATTTTGAGATCATGTGCATCTTGGATTTGTAATGAATAGATAAATTCTGTCTAATTAGCTTTGACTTAAACATATGGTGGATACAGAGCAAATATGAATATGGCAAAATTGCTATAACTTCCTTATAATAGCAAGGTGGTAATATCATGAATAAATGTTTTTGGCTTATTAGAGAAATAGAGAAATAGTTCTTATTTTTGTATTCTGTACAGTATTAAAATTATTTAAAACTATGATTTATTTTTAATAATTGAAAACTTATTTTCATTTCAGGACTGTCATATCAAGCAAATACCAGATATCTGTGAGGATGAAAAGTTTATGGTACCAGACATTTTCATCCATGTCATCAGATGAAGCTGAAGGCTACCCATATCCAAAACGAATTAAAATAGAAAACAATACAAGTGTAGCAAAAGAAAAGCAACAGCAGTTAGAACAAAAGACATACTCTATAGATGAATATAGAAAGTCACCAAATAAATCTATATATATATCCAAAGAATCACTTAACTTCAGTCAAAATACATGGAGAGTAGAAAAGGAAAACAATGGTAGAGAAAGAAAAAATAGCATGTGTGAGTTTATAGATTTTAAACCCCGGATTAATGAAAAATTAAAATGCAGGTTATTAGAAAACAGACTGTCCACTAAAATATGGAATCTTGAAAATGTAGAGCAAAATGTTATGAGCGATAACTGTTTACTGAATGCAAATGAACATTCTTCTGAAGAAGGATTATACAACATATGGAATGTAAACAAAAATGGCAAAAATACATATGAATTAAAGCAAGTCTGTGAACAGCACAGCACAAATATAGCAGAAAATAATAAAAATAGCAATCATAATGAACTTCAATTAAATGCTTCACTTTCATCGTTAAACAGAGATTTGTTTCAGGAGAAAACATCAAGTCAGAAAATTGGCACTGATGATAAGTGGAAAGAACACCAGCTTTTAGATGTTCCATTTTTATGTGGCATTAATTCTACATTTTGTGAAATAAAGAATAAGGACAAAAATAACTGGTTTAATATATTATCCATTGAAGAAAACAAAGATAATTATGGTAATCAGAGTGACTCCATTGAACAAATAGGTAATAAAGAAAAAAATGCTACATTGAATACATCAGCTACATTAAATTTGTTTGAAAAAATACAAACATTCAGAATCCCCCAAACTGATTTTTTTGTGAAAGGGAACATAATTAAATGTCCTAATGCTTCAAATACATTAAATAGCAACATAACAACTAATTTAAAGGAGATAGAACAGAAGAATTTTAAACATCAAACATATGTAAAGCAATCTGAAAAGGCTTACTGTTCCCCAAACATATCTATAGTAGGGAAACAAAAGTTTCAAAATGGTAAAAGTATTGTGAATGCTGTTAGTAATTGTTCTGAATGTATTGAAAGTAACCATCAGTCTGTTAGCAAGCAAAAGACTTGGGATTTAGCAGAAAAAGGAGAAAAAGCATCTGAGACTAATTTCAGGAACATCATCGACAGCGTCAAGTGCAATCAGATGTTTTCTAAAAAGAATGTCAACAAGAAAGAGCCAGAAAATGGAGAGGAAGACCAGGAATCAAGTATATACCTAAGTATTTACACATACTTTGGTTCTAGAAGACCTCAAAGTGGTAAATGTAGCAACTCTACCAATATTTTGAAAAGAACATGGGGAAAAGTCAGTTATAAGGATGTGACATTTAATATACAAGAAACAATTGTTGCATTGATATCAGAAGTACTAAGGAACCGAAATTTAAACATACAATACAGCATTACAGAGCTAATAACCAGTATTAATAACAATAGTACACATATTTATTTGCAAGATGCTATTTCAGAACAGCAAAATGTGAACATGATAAAATCATACCTTGCTTCTTTTTCCTATAATATACATTTTTTGCTTCCAGCTGAAAAAAAAAATAAACCAATAGAGAAAAATCCTTTATGTTACAGAAAACAAATTCAGGTAAACTCACACATAAATAATAGTTTGAAAGGAAACACAGAATTGCAGCAAAAATATATAACTTATATGGGTATGTATAAGGAAATTATAAACCCTAGATTAGTAAAAAAAGTTGGTTTTCAATTACATCGTAAATGCCAAAAAATTCATTATTCTAGCACTACAGCTGAAAATAAAGAAGCGATTTTTCTAGACAAAATAGTACTGTTTCATAACCAACAAAAAGTATCACCTGAAGATAGATGTGCCAAACTTTCCTGCTTATCCAGATGTAGCATAGGAATTAATAGTGTTGTTTCAGTATTTGACAGTGAAGAAAAAGATACTAAAATGCAACTTTTACTTGCTAATAGACTAATTTTATCAAGAAAGAATTTTGATTGTTCTTCCTTGTGGAAAATAAATTGGTGCAGTACCAACAAAATATTGACAGAAACAAACGTTGGACTTCTGAATTATTTGTTTTCAATTTCAAAAATGAAATTTAAAAATTTAAATAATAAATGTTCAAATCTGAAAATTCAGGTAGCTATAGTAAAACAAAAGAAGAAGAAACAAATCAAAATACGTAACACTATTTTTCTTAAAGAAAAGTTTAAAATTCTGCATGCTGTTTTACGTGAAAATAAAAAACATAGAAGCAGGGGAGTCACAAATAGTGTGAACTTTGCATGTGACGCCACAAATGTTATTCCAAAATATCCAAGAACCTTTATCAAAGTAAACTTTGACAAAAATAAGTATGGCAACAGTAGAGAATTTAAAAAAGAATCCTTTAGCAGTCTTCCAAAAATACCATTTCTTTCTATTTTTGACACATATGAAAAAATTCCTCTCAGTGCTGATTCTGAGGAAATGGACCAGATCCCACTTATAAGGCAAATTAATTCTAATAATGAAAAATGCATTAAAGAAAGTACAGTCGCTAGTATAAAAAATGTTCACAATGTCCTTTCTACGTCAAATATTTGTGATTTGCCTGAATTTTCAACATCTATAGTGAATTGTAAATCTGAGTTACTACCAGACAGTAGAAGAAACAGATATTTCAAAGAAATAAATACCTATAGTCAACCCTTAGAAAATGAAAGAATATATGTATGCTATTCAAATACTGGTTCCAATTCTGGAAACATATTTCATTGCTTCTTAGATAATGGCCAGTGTCCCACTTCACCATTCTATTGTGGTCCTTTTATACATAAAAATGTAGTACTAAAAGCTGAAGAGGGACATTGCAGGAGTTCCTTGAGTAATGACACAGAAAAACAATGTGAAGAAATGGATAACATTCTACAATACCAAACTGTAAGAAGTTCTGAAGTATCTAATAACAATATGCATTTTAAGGTTCAGAAAGAAGAAACAATGACTTTTGCTCTGTGTGAAAATGTTCAGACAGATAGAAAGTTTTGCACACTGAATTCAAAGCCAATGATTATAAAACAAAATCTTGAAGATTTACAAGAGGTGGGAGAAATAAGTGCCAGGCAAAATTATATAACTAACAAAAATAAAAATCAGATGATGTTGCATGGAAGTATATCAACTAGTTTAATTTTGCAATATTCAAAAGATGAATCTGGAGTAGCCATTGCTTCAGGAGACAAATTAACACCACATTTATCCATAATGGACAATGGTAAAAGCATATCTGAATTTGAACTGAAGAGCAAATTTGATTTAGTGTTAGAAGAGCTTTGTATGTTTCATGAAATTAGCAAGGAATATGAAAATAAGCTACCCAAAGTAGAAACAAACACAATACAAGAAAATCCTCTTGAATTGAATAATTCTGAAGCCATAGATGAAAATTTAAAAAATGTTTCTCAAACAAAAGTATGCATTTCCTTTCCAATCTTTAGTACTACAGCAGGACAAAATATAACTAAAAATAACCAAAGTTCATTTAAAGGAAAAATATTAAATAGACATGCAAAGCAAGAAGCACCTCATGAGTACTGTCCCTCAAGTATGTCGGATGAAGAATTGCTCTATTCACCTCCTGGAGAAGGTAAGCAAACAGAATTACTTTAAAATATCATCTAATATGGTAATGAATAAATAAATACTTGGAATTAAATTTTCTGCTCTACTCCATGGGTATGCTACAGAGGATTTGGTGTGCAGAGTGTTCTACTAAGACATGATGTCTGGGTACCACCGAGTTACTCTTATCCAAATAGTAGCAGCACAGGATTCTTGATTATGAGCAATTTTTTGTTCCCTCTGTAAAGTTCAAGTATTAAATTATTTTTGCTAGGGATGTTAAAAAGCAAGTATTTGGGTAACTGTGCAATTGCTGAAAATCTCAGCGGTTACATAGTTACATGCACCCATAGTGCTGAGTGGCAACCAGCTCCCTGGGAGCTGGTGTGCATTGGGAGCTGGCTTTTACCCTGGCTCCCAGCATGTACTGGCTCCCACCTGCTACCCTGTTCCTGGTGCACACTGGCTGCCATTCTGTGCTGCTGCCACTGTACCAGAGGCAGCAGTGTGGGGCCACAGCTAGCTCCCCACGAGTGGGTTGGGAACCTGTGTATAATCCAAGCTTATCAGTTTACCATTTAAATTATTATACTTTTAAATCCCCAAATTAATGCATACTTTTGGCATTAATCTCTTCATGCTTCTGCTGTCTACCTGTGTAATGATGTTATAACAGGCCTTCACCTCATAGAGATTTGGTGAAGATACATTAATTAATGTTTCTGAAGCACTCAGTGAGAATAATGATGAGTGCCGTGAGTAAATTAATAATTCTGTCTTCACAGTAGTGTTTGAATAGTGTGCAGTTGATAATGTCTAGAGGAGGGGTGGGAACCTATATCGCTTGCCTGGATCCAGCCCCTGAGACTCGGGGATCTCCCCAGCATCAGGGAGCTGGTGCTGGCACGCCAGTCCTGAGGCCTCTGTACCCCACCCATGGGTATTGAATAGCTCCTCGTTACTTGAGCATTATCCATCCTGTGCATAGAATGGAGACTATGGAAAAACAGTAATTTATCATGAAATTAAAGACTGTGTCATAATATATTTGCACAAGGGAGATGAATTAAGGTTGCAGTCTTCATTCTGGCATTTCTTAACTTTTGAGTGCTTGACTTTGCAATCATAATAATGTTCTTTTAATATGGCTTTTTTGTGTGTAATAATATTTAGGGGGTAAAAATTAAGGAGAATGACCCATAAAATTGTCTTTTTATATAAGTGTCTTATTGAAAAAGAATGCGGGTGTGTCTAGACTACATAGTTCTTCCGGAAAAACATACTCAAATTGTGAACCGCAATTTGCGTAGCTTTTTCCACTTCCTTTTTTGGAAGAGACTTTTCTGACATTTGGCCCATCTACACTGGGCCAAATGTCAGAAAAATTTTTTTTTCAGAACATCCCTTCTTCCTTGTAGAACGAGCTTTACAGGGATGCCAAAAAAAGCATCTGCTCTTCCAAAAAAAATTTCAGAAGAGCAGACATGTTCTGCAGTCTAGAAATACCCTGAGTTACAAGAACTACAGAAAGTGAATGATGTATATGCAGAGCTGTATATTTATGTAAGCAGAATTTTGTAATTATATGTTATGCATATATGTAACATTTTTATTCTTCACTCAATCAGTACAAATTGCTACTTTGAATTGTCTGTATATAGCAATTTAAAAGTTGAATGTGAAATTTTTCCTTTTGTTTTAAGATTCAAATTGTAAAAATCGATTTCCATGGAACCCTGCTTTTTTGTCTCATTCATTTATGAAGGAAAGAAGTAACAGTTTACAGAAAGAAAGAGGTAAAAATAAAGTTATTTTAATTAAGAAGAACATTCCAGTGTTATCAAGATTTTTAGAAGTATGTTATTTATTTCTTTTCCATTGACTTCAGCACAGCAATTTTCATATACAGGCAGTCCCCGAGTTACGCGGATCCGACTTATGTCGGATCCGCAGTTACGAACGGGGCATTCCTCTCCCTGGTCTCCAGCAGACCAGGGAGAGGAAGCAAAGCGGCGGAACACGTGGGCAGCAGACAGGGCTGTCCGCTGCCCACACGCTCCGAGGCTTGGCTCTGCTTTGCCCCCGTCCCCCCGTCCCCCTGGTCTGCAGACCAGTGGGATGGGGAGCAAAGCAGAGCAAAGCCATGGAGCCCGAGGGCAGCAGGACAGCCACGGCGCGTCTGGGCTGTCCCGCTGCCCCCGTGCTCTGCGGCT